GGTTTTCGGTCTTCGTTTTATAGACACCCAACAAAAAGTTCAGAATTTAGAAAATTTTGCCATTCTTGTGGTGAATCTTTAATGGAGGACTCAACTTCTAATATTAATACACGAAAACGGCCAAGTCCAAATGAAAGTTCATCATCAAGTAGGCATAAGCTTGCTGGTCTCTCATTTGAGGCTTTCAGAGATAGGAAAGAAAAGGAGAGAAGCACTAGATTCACCAAGAAAGCCGTATCAACGAAAATAGAGAAAAACCACGAGGTCACCATACAGATCGGTCTTTTTAAAGCTTCGTAATGGTGTGCTGAAAAGTGTCTGAGATCATTCCTTCCCTTGGAAGGGGGCCGAAAAAATGATCAAATTTAACAAAGACCTTATCAGCTTCCCAGATGTTTTTACTTTATTGTACCCTGACAGAAGTGAAGTGCAATTTTTGCCAAGTAGTGAGAAGATATTTTTCTTACAAAGGGACCAACGGATTACATTGTATTTATGCCTCAAACCCGATTATAACAAGAACTTGTGTTTGATGATGGAAGTGACATTGAGTGTAATGAAGAGGTAAAACAAAAGTTTTGTTCAATAAACCTTTCTCAAATTCACAAGACAGGTGATCATAAAACAATAGATTCAAGTCAAGACTAGGGTGGGTAAAACGCGAATTCATCTACTCCAGTCTTGACATGAATCTATGTTTTTTTGTTTTTGTTTTTTGTTTAAATAGGCCTAAGCCATAAATTAAAGAGAGGTTTGTTATTTTATATGTGAGAGGTCGACTTCAATTTGTTTCTTGCCGAAGTAAATGAGCATATCATATTATTTTAAATTCCTTACTCACTATATTTGTCAGCTTAATTTCAGTCCTCTTTTTAGCAACTGGGATTTGTCAAAATCTATCATCTGTCTTTTACCCAAGGTTAAAAAATCTGTTGGTAGGATTTCCCCAGCTCTTCCTTGTATCTTTGTAAGGAAATAATTATCTCTGTTGTCAAAAATTGCACTTCACCCATGAAAATCAGCCCAAAAGCAATATCTTATTTCTGTTGGTTACGCACCGCTGATTCACAAACAATGTTTGTCATCACTTCAAGATGTCTCCGATTCGTGAAAAAGGCCTATTGTCGAATTTCCCGTCGCTAAACTCATTATAAAATTCGGCCAACGTAATATCGACACTTGGCGTACATCCAAACCAGTCTTTCTTTCACCGGCACAAGTCCTCCTTAACAATGCAGCCGATTACAAACGGCATTGTATTTTCAGGGAGTTGTTATAATAAAAACTCCCTTTTATTTTTCACAAAAGACCAGACAATAAAGGATTTAATTTCTCAGCAAACACGCTATGCACAAAGGAACTTTCTAAAATGGCGACAACACTATTCGAACGACTGCCGTTGGTAGGTCAATACGGAGTTAATATTAATGATCAGCCACGTCGTCGTGTAAATAGTATTCTTATTATAATTACGCATATTTTAAACCCTAAGATCACAATGCAAACCCATGTCCTCAAATAAACGTCTAGACAAGGAAGTTCAAACCTATTGACGAATCACAATGAACAGAACAAAGAGAACAAAATTAGGCGGTACATAAATCTGTTTTTACGCATATGTTCAATTTTTCGCACCTTTTATAGCTTGCTCATATTTTTTTAAACATCTGCAAGCCGTTATCCCATAAAGTTTTTAGTGCACATGACCTAGGGGTTGCATTTTTGTCTTTACTTTATTGAAAATGTATTCATCGAATCGTTCGAATATCGTTGAATATTAGGAGTACTGTAGGTTTCTTGTCTGTAGGGTTAGATTAAGTAATACTTTCTTGGTCTGTTTGGTTTTCACGTTTATGTTCGAATGTAGGTAAGAATGGCCCCGGTAAAAATGGCCCCGGAAAAAATGACCCCATATGACAGGTAGGTAAAAATGGCCCCAATGAAAAATTTGGTAATAGAAATTATATATATATTTTTTTAATCTTTAAATATTTAAATACTGTATAAGCAAGAACTGAATCAGGAAATAAAAAATGGCTCTCAATTATAAAATTCAAGAAAAAAAAAAAAATAAATGCTGTAAAAAAAACCTGTAGCAAAAATTTAATTAATAAATCAACATAAAAACCTACACTTAACAAACAAACTGATTCAGTCAGTAGGCCCTATTGATATGTAAATTAATTACTTACTTCCTGTCACTTCTTGGTATTTCTGTTTTTAGTATTTTCAATTTACTTGATCTTGAGAGTGGTTCCATGATGGACCCGAAACGTCGATCTATCTTGTCATTAAATGTTGTTTTGAGATTATGTTCTTAATTGATTTAATAAATAAAAGCCACAAATAATAATTTGATTTACTAAATTTCATTATGTAAAAATAGTTATGCTTTAACATAGATTAAAAATATGTTACGCCTTACTTATTTTTAATCTATGGTCTTTTTAATTTATTTTTTTATTGGAAATTCCGTAGTGCAGAGTAAATTTATCAAAACCCATTAGGTTTACAGTAATATAAAAAAAAATTAGTTTATACAGAAATAGTATCTAAAATGATCTCAGTTTCCAAAGTTAAAGCAAAAGATCTAATCTAAACACACAATATTAGGCAGGATGTATTTGTTTGAAAAAGAACCCACTCTTTTGTTTATAGGTGAAAATTGTAAATTTAGAAATAAGTTTTATTTTTCCTTTGAACTGAGATCAATATGTGATTTTTTTTTATGTCTTGAAAAGCTTTTTTTTTTTTAACAATTACAGCAGATGCAAATAATGTTCTGAGAGATAATCGAAAAACAATGGCCATTTAATAACATTTTTTGATAGTAGAAATAAAAGTTTTAAAAACGTTATTTCACTAACAAAGTAGAGGAATGACATACAGTATACAGTACTTCAACTACCAAAATATGCAACTCATAGATAACCACAAATGAATTAACTTTACATGTTATAAACAATGCAAATAAACAGTAGTTAATGGATGTGGATCAATTGTGTGTTTGAATTACAAGTTCATGTATGGGAAAAGGGAGAGGCTTACTTTCTCGCAAACTTAGCAATAAATTGTCTGCTTAGAGTTTATTCAAAGAAGTATTGCTTTTAGTAAACTGAATAATTAGGAATACATTTATTTAAGCAATTGATTTAGTTGCATACTTGGTTTTTACTCATCACTAACTAAATCCAAGTGCCTACTACTGGCTTAGAATTATGTATAGTTACGTATGGCAATTATGCTAAGAATTAAAATGGCGTGTGATTGTGAGGGTAGGGTGATTATGGTAGGATTAAGTGGTATTGCTAAATCCCACAAACCTCCCAAAACACACTGTAAAAAATCAAACAATTTAATTGTGATTGACTGACTTAGTATATCAATAAGAAAATTAAATACATTTGTAACTATTTTTTGGTTAAAATTTAGATTTTTTTATGAAAAAATACTTGCAAATACACCACAAGCCTCTAAACACACTGCAAACCCCATCTAAACCATATAATTATGATTGTAGAACTCTCTTTTTCTTTAAAAAAAAAAAATAATAATTTGATGTTCATACTAATTTGATTATTGGGGAGATTCCTTTTAAAAACTAAGTTAGTTAAGATAAAAAAATGCATATAATGACTCAAGAAAATCAGTTATAATTCAGAAATTTATTATTGGGGCCATTTTTTCCAGGGCCATTTTTTCCGGGGCCATTTTTTCCGGGGCCATTCTTACCGTACACCTTTATGTTCAGCACATACAGGTCTACGCAATATGCGTTCTAGGCCGGCCATTATTTTATATATCTTATTACTGTAATTTGTTTTAAATATATTTCTATTATTTTGGGGTATAGTTTACTTTCAGATATCAATTTCAGTAATGGAAGTCAAGAAAGACAAATTGATACATATCCATACTCATTTCGAATAATTAGAAAGACACTATTTCCATTCCAAGAATAATGACAATGTTCAAGCGGTGCGAACGCCAGGTTGTCAGATAACTGTTAGGCATATAATTTCATAGCAACAATTTTTGAAACTCAACGTCTGAACAAAATTGTTAAGGTTCCTGGGCCTACAACAGCATACACTTACGTAAAAGCATGTTCCAGCGACGATCGTGCAAATAGCCGACACAATGAGCTTTCTTCTTGAAGTTGAGTACATAGCGGCTGCTAAAATACCAACATAATTATTAAGATATTTGGTCTTGTATAAAATGTAACGATGTCCGAACCATCAATAGATAATGATTACTGTAAACTTGACCTATATAGGCTATTTTTAAGAGGGCGTAAAAGTTGCCACAACAACATTTAGCTCTGTGGTTACGCGGTGGATTGAAGTATATTTATGATATTAAGCAGACAGCCAGGATGTAAACATTAATAAAGATATTGTGTGGTTAAGCTTAACCCTCAATACATATGCATTTCACTTGAGAAGTTATATGTCCATTTCATTTACACTTCGGCTTGGTTCTTACTCAGTGATCCGTAGAGCTACAATCAGCTAAATCAATGATTGTGCCAGAGAGAGATGTCCAGAGCCAATCACATGGCCGTATCCAGGATTCATGTGGATGGATGGAGCCTCTGAAGGGGTGCATGTGCAAAATGGATCGGCAATTTGCTAACATCAGTTAAATCATGGAGGATGAGTTCTAATTAGAACTAATTCTTCCATGGTTCAGCAGGTCGAGATCCATGAAAAGTCGTATATAAAGGTGTGGGTTACCCACATCTTTATATTTACACAAGTAATTAAAATTGTTTATTCACAGATTAATCTCACTGATAAACAATTCTACTATATTTGGCTGGTACATATGAACTTCTATTTAGAGACATAATTTCATTATTTTCTTTCCAAAAATATTATTAAACGTTAACTAGCACCTCATAACGACTTTTGAATGATAAAAATCGGCTCGGTATAAGGCCCCATAAAAAAAATGATTAGTTTATCATCCCGCGCGCATCTCTTTTGACGAAATCGCGATTTTTTTTTTTTTTTTTTACTAGATTTTTTTCATTGAAAAAACGATCGTTTGTTCGTCAAAAACAAATTTTAAGGCTGGTGAATGATGATTTTCGATCTTTAGAGTAGTCGCCAAGTAACAATATCTATTTATAGGCGATCTTTTTCATACTGCGCATGTCCACAAAGAAAGAGAGATATGACGTTCGTTGACGACGAACGGCGAACAAA